AGAGAGAGAGAGAGAGAGAGAGAGAGAGAGAGAGAGAAAGGTTGTGAAGTGGGAGGCGGCTAGGGTTTCTGTGGCTGAGTCACAGCTTTGCCAACTTTCGTAGCGTTTCCCAGAAAGCGAACGCAAAGGCTCGGTACCAAAGCCCACCACTCTGGTCCCCAACTCTGTGTCATTTGACGGGGTGGGGGTGGGGGCGGGGGGTTAGCGCCAGTCTCACAACTGGGGTGTCCCCACTCCACGCGCAACTCCAAGCCTCGTGGTGCCGGGAGCGCTAGCCAAGTGCCGCCCAGCCCGGATGGAAGGAAGGGAAGCGAGCCGCGCCCTCACCTGCAGGACACCGACACCTCCACGCGCGTGGCCGGGATGGTCGCACTCAGCTGGTTCAAGTCCCCGATGCCCGTGGCGCTGGTGTAGCGGCTGTCCATCTCGAGAGGAGGCGCGGAGCGCCTGTCCCGAGCCCACCTCCGAGGCGCGGCGGGCTGCGCGCTGCTCGGGGCTGAGCTCCGCACCGACGGGAAGGGGCGAGGGTGGAGGCAGAGGAAAGAGGCGGAGGCGGCGCGGGAAGGGGAGGGAGGAGGCGGACCTCGTCGCCAAGCCGAGGACCGAGCCAGTCCTGGCAGAGCCGCCACGGTCTGGCAAGTGGCGCTCGGGTCTGCTCCCGCCCCGGGGGCAGCCGCCGGGCGGGGACCGGGTCTGCGGCCCCCCGAGCTCTGGGCGCGGGGCGCAGAGACAGGGGGTGACCCGATGGGACACCGCGCCCCGTCTAGTGGGAAAGCCCCCGGCGCCGGCGGTGTCCCCTCTCCACCTCACCCTCCCCTCTCCGGGGCCGTTGCTGCCTCCCCTCCTGCCAGTCACTCCGTTTCCTCCAGGGTGGAAGCCGGACGTGTGGGCTTGATGCCACCCCACGGAGCGGCCTCGGGTCACGCCGGCACCTGGCCCCCGCTGATGGGCCCTCCTCTTCGAGCCACTGGACTGATGCGGTGGCGGGACAAGGGATGGCTTGCAGCCTTTGACACCGGTGCAGAGGGGGCGTGCTGGGGCGGAGTAGACGCAGTTGGGACGGTCGCTGCGTCCCCTGCAACTTGCGACTTGAGGCGAGGGTCCCCTCGAGGCGAGGCCAGCGCCTTGCAGCGCCCCTCCTTTCCAAACCTAACGGATTTCTGCCCCGAGGCCCAGGAGGTCGTAACCTTATAATCTAGCGCCCTCTCCCCTGGTCATGACCTGAAAACACGGCAGCGTAAGGCAGGTGCGCAGCCCGGGTGGCCGCGGCCTTTGGAAGTATGTTCTGGGCGGCGCGACGTGGGGTGGACAGGACGCGGACGCCGCCGCAGCCTCCCGGGCACCCCCCACTTTTACTGCGCACACCTGACCTCAGGCGTCACTGCGGGTCCTCTAGCGATGGCCACCAGGGGGCGACGGAGAGCAGAGCGCCTGGCCCCGGGAGGGAGCTTGGCTGGACCAGGGGGTTCAGCTGGCCTCCGCGGTGGCCTGTTAGCCCACCTGGAGCTAGGTGTTTAAAGGATCCCTTACACTGCAGCGGGAGTGGGGGGAGGGGGGTAAGGAGAACAGGGCGTAGATGCTTGCCACTCCCCCCTGCCCCACCCTCCACTCATCTCCCCTTAAATCCCGAAGTTCTGTTTGTCTTTCTCCTTCCAGCATCACACATTAAACTGCGGTTTATGACCAAAACTTTACCTCAAACTCCCTTACCGATGCCCGAAGTTGATTTGGTGGACGGGGTCTAGAGGTTTTTTTTAAAAGGTGACCGGAATTTTATTTGGCAGGCACCTGCTGAAGAAATAAAAAGGACTTTATCTCCCAACCCAGATGCCTTTTCCTAACCTTCCACTTCTCGAGGTCCGTAGGTGCGTGTGTGAGTATTTGTAGTGCATTTGTTTATATGTACAATACAGGCAGCTGTTTAAGTGTGACATCTGATCGACTGTGAACAGAGTCTACCTGTAAAGTTATCAAAACTATCAAAATAATAAACCATTTCCTCACCGAAGTTTCCTGTGTCTTTTTTTTTTTTGTAACCGGTCCCTCCTTTCACCACCACTAAAAAAAACACTTCATTTTTAATTTAAAAACCGCAAAACATGGCATGCTCCATTTCTAATCCGATTTCTTCCCCTCTGTAAGATGCCTTGCGGGTTTTATCCACAGTGCGAGGGGAATAAATAGTGAACAGTCTTCTATTTTCAGAGACGCGCCACGCTGGTCACCCACTGGCTTTGATAAACAATGTGCTTGTTCCTGGGCTGGGCTATTATTTATAAAGTTGCTCTGAACACTACTTTGTAAGTCTTTTGTGAACATAAGCTTTCATTACTCTGGATAAGTAAAAAAAGAGACTAGCTGGATAAACATGGAAACTCACGGCTAATTTCTTAAGAAATCATTGAATTATTTCACAAAATGGTTTTACTATTTCCTATCCTAGAGGAGCATGAGTTCCAGTTGATCCCCAGCCTTGTCCACACTTCTGTTAATCTTTTACAGTTTAAACAGTCGCATCGTGGTTTAATGACTAGTGACAGTGTGTTTCCAGGAAATAACTCATCTGTATATGTACTTTGGCAAGGTGTCCATTCACTTATATTGGAGTGTTGGTTTTATTATTTCTAAATTTTGAAGATTCAGCATATGAGGTTATTATCATACGCAATTTACAATATGTTTTCTTTCAGTTTGAAAAAGTTTATATTTTCCTCTTCTTGTCTATAAAAGAGAAGTTTCTAATTTTGACGAGTTCAGTTTTCGAATTTTAGTAATAAAAATTTTATTTATTTATTTAGGCAAGGTTTTTCTCTGCAGCCCTGGCTGTCCTGGAACTCACTCTGTAGACCAGGCTGGCCTCCAACTCACAGAGATTCACCTGCCTCTGTCTCCTGAATGCTGGCATTAAAGACATGTGCCACCACCAGCCAGCAACAACAACAAAAAAATTTTTAAACCCACGTCAATGCTAAAAAATCTTGGCCTAATTTGAGGTTGTCAAAAATATATTTTATGTTCAAGCTCAGTCCTAATGAGTGTGGCATACTGAAATAAGCTTCAAATGCTGAGACACAGGATGTAGAGTAAAGCTTTTTATTAATATAGCTAGCTTGATGTACACAGACCTACGGTCATTAAAAATTAATATCTCAACATGAACTTCAACTTCTCTACCTGAGCTTTTGTTTAGAAAATGTATTAGCACCATGTGTTAATACTCGTCCAGGTAAGCAATATGTGACCTTGCGATGTGCTAAAAGCAAAGATGAATTATTCAGCACAGTACTCACTTGGCAAATACTAGCTGGAAGTCCGCTTGGAACTGGACACTGTTAGATCTGAAAGAGGCAGTGGGGAAGTTAGCAGATGAGGACCTCACAGGGGATTATATTAATCGAATCATTCAGTTCCTGTCATTTCTTTGATTTTATGTCATTATTGATTTTTTAGAAGCATTTATTTATAAAAGCAGGAGTTTTTATAAAAGAAGGAGTTAACGGGAAAAAGATAAGTGAGATGAAGAAAATAGAAAGGGGAAACCCCACAAATAACAAGAGTCCAGCAGGAAGAGGTGTGCTCCAAGAAAGTGGCTCTTCCTGAAAGAACAGCCCATAGCAATGGCAGCCAGCTTCCATTGCCTTACCTGGCGGATAGTGCTCAACTCAGACAGAACATGGGAAACAAATAATTGAACATTTGTCTGTTGCTCCAATAGCTAAGAAGCTTTAAGATAAGTGAGAGCCTCCAGCCTTGCTATACACTGGACTTAAAAATGTCCTTGGAAAACTGAAAAATGCAAAACTAAGTCATCATTTTCCCTCTGTGGACAGTTGTTTAATTAGTACCTTAGCCTTCTTTAAGAAGGCACATCTTAACACAGGGAAACATGCAAGAGAAAAGAATGGCCTCTTGATTGTTGGGAAGGAGCACACCAAAGACTCTGTGATGGAGTTAAACGATATGCATTCTCTGGCAAGGTGTGATCTTGAATCCCAGTTCTCAGGAGGCAGAGGCAGGTGGGTGGATCTCCAGGAATCTGAGTCCACCCTTGTCTGCAAAGCAAGCTCCAGGCTAGCCAGGGCTACATGTGAGATTCTGTCTTAAGAAAAGAGAAAGAAGCGAGGCACAGGCACAGTGTTGCATGTCTTTATACCAGCCCTTGGGAGGCAGAGGCAGATAGATCTCTGTGAGTTACACTCTAGCTTGGTCTACAGAGTGAGTTCCAGGACTGCCAGGGCTACACCCAGAGAAACTCTGTCTCAAAAAAGCCCCAACACAAACAAACAAACAAACAAACAAACAAAAAATTGAACAAACCAAAAAGGGGGGGGGGGGGGCAGGAGATAGGAGGGAAGGAGGAAGTGAAAAGGGAGAAGTGAATTTCAGACATAGTGTCTATGCAGTATGGATACTGTCTATGCAGAATAAAATAAATGTTCTAGATGGTGTTATGAAAATTTACTAAAACAGTCATTTGCCTCTGACCATAGGCTACTTGGGAAGGAAACACCACAAGGGTGCTGACTGAGAGGAGGCAGATCAAGTTACCTGACTGGCCTGAGTTATCTGTCCAGGTGGGATCTTCTAGTCTTTTCACAATAGTACCTCAGCTATTTGTTCCAATGTAACAAGCTATTCCCAAACTCAGTCACACAAAAAGCAGTAGTTTCTTGTACATAATGCTTTGTGTCCAAAATTTGGCTAGAGCTTTAACCAGGCTGCTTTCCTATTCCATGAGAATGAAGGGCCACAGTCAATGGCTGAGCACAGCCAGCTCAAAGCTGACTATACTATACTAAAGTGTCTTATGGCTCTGGTCCTTCCTCCATGCATCTGCTCCTTGATTTCTCCTTCCTTGGGGGAGTCTCTCCTTTGCCTTCCTCAGCATGGAGGCCAGCTTTCGTCTTGTCAAACTAGAAGCTGCCAGGCTATCCCTGAGGTGCCAAAGCAATGCCACAGTCCAAGGTAGGAGGAGGGTAGAGTGGCTGAGCTGACTTGCAAGGTTGAGAAACTTTCCCATTATATGGCAAGGAAGTAAGAGTGAACATCCTTGTGGAGTTACTTAAAATAGTTCAGTGATGGTCAAGAAAGGCTGAAATTAAACAAACATACAAATAAACAGAAAACACTGATTAGATTTTTCTAATATTTTAGTCATCTTTGTTTGAAGAAATCGGCAAAACAAACAAGAAATCTCTTGGTTTACACTGTAGGATGTTCATTGTCCTGGATTACACTGTAGCAAGTATGCTCACTGTCCTGATTTGCACTGTAACAATCATACTCACTGTCCTGGTTTACACTGTAGCAAGCATGTTCAGTGTCCTGAGCTAGGCTGCATCTTCATGGATTGCTCTGCTTCCTATGTCAAGAACAGGACAGAAAAAATACAGAAAGCATGAAGAAGAGCTTCTTTGTTTTCAGTTATCATAACAGTTCATGTGATTGTTGGCTTTCGCTAATTCCTACAGTACAGACTATGAGGGAGCAGGAAAAGACCAGCCATC